ATTTCCCGTTACTTATTCTTTGACCAATGGCTATTTTGGAGTATGCTGTTTCACTGCCAAATATTTGGGGGTTTCTAAATACCTCATAATTATTGATATCTGATTTAATTCCATTATGGTCAAAGAACATGATCTATAAGATTTCAGTGTTTTGACATTTACTAGGATTTATTTTATGTTCCAGCATCTGGTCAATCTTGGCGAATGTTCCTCAAGCACTTAAAAAGGATGTCTATTCTGCAGTTATTGGGTGTAGTGCTCTGTGTCAATTAGAGTAGGTTGTTTGATAGTTTTGTACAAATCCCCCTATATTCTTACTGATATTTTGCCTATTTGTTCTGTTACTGAGAGAGGGGTGTTAAAAATTATTCTGACTGTAGTGTGGATATGTCTTTTTTTCACTCTATTTGTATGTTTGCTTTGTGAGTTTTGAAGTTCTATAATTAGATGCATATATATATTTAGAATTGCAAACATTAGATTCTTAAGCTAAACAAAAAGCAGAATTTAGAAGTATTAAGTAATTAACATTTCTAATATGCTGAGGAGCCCTGGTGGCGCAGTGGTTAAAAGCTTGGCTGCTAATCAAAAGGTCAGCAGTTCAAATCCACCAGCCACTTCTTGGAAACCCTATAAAGCCGTTGTGCTCTGTCCTGCAGAGTCACTGTGAGTCAGAACCGACTCGATGACAATGATTTTTAATATGCTGGGCCTCTGTATGCATCTTGCTTTACTCCTTTTCCTGTTTCTTCCCCTACCTCTGTCTCGTTGAGGTCTCCACTGTCATGTGTACATATTCTCTAGCGGTTTCCCCTTTAACTTCTTTAATGGGCCAAAATATTAACTGGGAGTAGTCTTTAAAATACGTGATGTATTTGAGCACAGAGTTTTATATTCTCAGGTTTAATTTAAAATCAATTGATCATAGTTTACATTCTTGCTTTGAAAAAAAGGAAAAAAAATGAATAGCTAAAGTTGAACTATTAAACCAGATTAAGATGTTCTTCTGCTCATAAGTCCCTTTTTTATTATGGATCAGTGACCTTCAAAAGGTGAATAAGATTTACAAACTACTGAAAAATAAAAGCGGCTTACTCATTATTTCACTTAATCTTAACTAAAATATCTGCAGATTATACTCCTTGATAAAAAGCATAACCTGTCTCCTTAAAAAGTATACTATAATTACCCCCTTGCCCCTGCTCCAACTGCATGTCTCATAGACTACTACTGAGAATAATCATTATCGTTTTAACATATTATGGTGAATGTCAGTAAAAAGTAAATTATTCACCATTAGCACATCATTCTTCCTCATGCAGGCACTGCAGCAAAACCAGCATGATTTTGTTCAGTATTCTATTTTTCCGTCTGATGTCACACGCAAGTGTATTAACAGAGGCAAATCCTGGCATGAATAACATTGGACCAGGCACTGATAGATAGAGGAAACAGAACATATTTAATGGAGCTGGAGTATAATGAACTCAGTGAAATGTTCTGCTTATCATCCCTACCTCATCTAAAAAGGAAAAAAGAATTCAGAAAAAAACAAAATCAAGTTTTTCGAAAACTGTCTTTAAAATAATTATCTCTGCTCCTGATTTCAACAAGTATTAAACCAAGACTAAATTATTCCAAGATAATTCAACCACAATAAAGAACTCTTCCATTTTAATAAAGTTTTCCTGGTTATCTTGTCTTCTGAAAATAAAATGGGAGCAAGAAGAATATTTTTCTTCTGACCGAGAAAGAAAAAGCAGCTGCATTTCAGTAAAAACATCTGAGCCATTAGGATGTATTTATTACCCTCCCTAAGATTTAAAGTGAACCTGATAACCCAAAGTAAATCATCTATTTTCCACCAGAGACCAGCAAGATTCTATTCTCTTTAGCAAGCTGTGTGCATGCAAGTTCAAGTTCTAGTGTGATCTGAAGAATGTTTTTAATTTTTAAAAACTAATAAATGCAAAAACTTTAAATTTACTTCTCTTCAATAAATATTTATCAATCACAAGCTATACACAATTGTTGATCACATATTTTTACAGTATGAACTGTTGATTTTATATCTAAACCAGCATTTCATACTCATAAATACATAAGTAGTAAGGAAACTAGACATTTGAGTCTTATCATTGGTATATTATTTCCCCACAGACAAGCTTCAAGAAAAATAAAATTATAATCAGAATTTTGTTTGGCAGAATTAGTCATATGAGTTGATTATTTAAAATAATTAAGCTACAGTCACCTATTATATCCAGCCCCTAAAACAGCAGCAAATCTGTAATTGGGGGAGAACAGGCTGATTTCTTGTAGCAAGACATCCTCTTTCTACCTTGGACAGTGCTGGGGGCAGTTTGTCAATGACTGACTTGAGTTTTCTCTTGTCCACTATATATAGATATATATATATATACACACACACACACTGAAACAGTCCAAAAGTATTCTTTCAAGTCAATACTCCTTTAGAAAATTGCTTACTCTTCTCATATATAAAAAAGTAAAGAAAGCTAAATTCCACATTTAAACTCTAAAGAATCAGCTTTTCCCCCCCAGAAGTTATACTGGAAACAAACAAAAATGCCAAAAACCCTAGATGATACAATTTTAATGTGATATAAGGTACAGGCTCAACTTTGTTTTAACAGGCTCGGTATAATTGAGTAGGTTCAAAAACAGTTTTAATCTGAACAAGCAGTGATACAGATGGAACTATGGCTTAATATGTAAGTCACATTTTAAAAAGTCAAACATTAATAAGCTTTTCCTCCCTCCTCTAAAATACAGCAAAATCAAATTATAAAATGGACCACATTTAAGAAAAACAAAAGCTATTTCAAAATATATTTGTGCAAATGAATTATTGCACCATCTCCAACAATAAAATATTGATTACATATACCTAGTTAAATAACACCAAATTATTCTCCTAAATGTGCATGGAATAAAAAGACTTTTCAATCTTTTAAAATCTTCAGTTCAGACACAAATACACACAAATTCCAACAAATGTGAGGTTTTATGGATTGTTGGCAAAGCTGACTGAAAAACAATTAGAAAACTCAAATTACTTGTAACTGTTTATATTAATAAACTTTGTATTACGCATTAATTATCAAAAAGAGATGAATGTAAATTCCTGAAGAGAAAAATTCTTCCTAATATAATCTATGTGACTTCATCAGCATTTATAAGTAGACTTTACAACAAATATTCAATTAATTTTACAACATGCGAATTCTCTAAACAAGTCATCAGAATTTAATATTGTGAAAGCAAAAAGGGTTTCATAATATTTCTATGATACGTATTTTTGCATTGCTCCAAATGGCAGACATTTCCCTACAAAAAAATCCGTTACTTTTACTTCACAAGAAGGTAAATGATCCAGGGAGCTAGATGACAGATGATGTGCCCAGCAGAGCAATGAAGTAAATTCTCTCTCAAGTCTTTGAAGCCCTGGGAAAAGGTCAATGTCTGACTTTTGTCTGTATGCTAACTGTAATGCAGTATTTTCTTTTAAAGCAATTTTCTCCCAAAAGTTTATTTAGAAAAATTTCTACTCTACAGAAAAGTTGAAAGGATGCTACATCAGTACACCTTTATACTCCTCACCTGGATTCACCAATTGTTAACATAGCTTGTGCTCCCTATCTACACATTTCTTATTTCTTCACTATTTGAAAATAAACTGCAAATACCATTATCCTTCATCCCTACGAACTTCCGAAGTATCTCCTAAAAACAAGGATATTCTCCTACATAACTATAATATCATTATCATCTCCAAGAAATTAATGACAATATAGTATCACTATCTGACATATAGTCTATATTAAAACTTATCCAATTATCCCCAAAATATACTTCCGTTGGAAATGCATGATCCTGACAAGGATCAGGTATGGCATTTGATTGTCATATTTCTTTCGTCTTTCTTCATCTAGTCATTCTTGTATCTTTCTTTTTTACTTTTCTATGACACTGACATTTTTTAGGAGTCTAGCCCAGCTGTCTTAAAGAAGCCACGATCTGGCTTTGTTAATTTTTACTCATGGTAGACTCATGTCTGACACTTTAGGAAAAAGTCTACATGGGTGATGTTGCGTACTTCCCACCGTTTCGCATCAGGAGGCACACAATGTTAGTCTGTCCCACTATTGGCTTCACCAGCAGGGTAAGGAGCTGCTGGTGTCCCATTTACTCCTAAGTCCGGCAGTGACCAACAGGAGCTTTACACTTACTGAAGCTATGCTGCGCTTACGTAGAATATGTCAGGAAATGCTTCCAGTGACACAAGCACAACAGTGTGCTCACGGTGACTATTATTTTAGTATTTGATTTTCTTTTAAAAAATGAAACTCATCAGAGAAATTAAGTTCACGTGGAAGACAACTTTCAAATAAGTACATACGTGTGAATTTTTTATCACCTTCAGAAAATTAGTATTCAGAAACATAATCTTAATAATAATGGTTAAAATGTATTACCACTTACTATGTGTCAGGCACCACATTGGGTGTTTACATATATAATGAAAAAAATAAAGAGAAATTCTGTATTGTGAAAGGACTTTCTTTTTGACTTTATAAGACAATTACTAGACTTGCAGCTGATACCTCAAACAAGTGAAGTGGGTAAAATACTAAACTGAACGACAAAAACAAAAAAACCTGTCAACGACTCTGGGCCCCAGTTTTTCATCGGCAAAATTAAATCGCCCCGAATCCCTCTATAACTGAAATTAATTAACTCAATGAGAATGGGCAATTCATTCTACAAAAGATCAGTGCTGATATAGAAACCTAGAGACTGAAAATTCTAATGACAGAGTCATAAAACGTTAGGAGTGGAAGGGATTTTAGAGCTGTGAGCAGGAACAGGTCACAAAGTCAGCTGCAGAGCCAGAAGACAGCTGTCCAATGTGGACTGGGCCAACAGGTCCCTATGACCCAGCCTTGGAGTCATTAGTAGAGCACACCCCAGTGTACCTGTAAGCAAGAGCCAAAGCCCAGGCCCCGGCAGCACAGTACAGGCTATCCTGGATCTTGGCCTTCGGATTGTCGCCACATGTTTTAGTGGGAAAGAGGCCTGTGGTTGGACTTTGATACCGCAACAATGTCGACTTGACTGCAATGGAAGACAAGACAAAGAATAAATACTGCAGCCACCCATTTTCCCTGGACTAGATGTTTCAATACTCTTTGGTTTCTTCATCCCACTTAATTTTGTTGTTGTTTCTAAACTTAACTAGACTATGAGACTTTTGCAGATGTAGAAATAACTTCATGTAAGTCACTCCAACCTAAATGGGGATGCACCTTGCTTAAAAAAGGGTCTTTCAGGTTTTGAGGAAAGGATTCCACTAATTACTACTTAAAAAGCCTCTGGCATAACCTAGTTATTGTAACACGTGTTACAAGACTTACTAAGATAGTATCAGGTACAGGGGAAAAAATGAAAAACAAAAAACCAAAAAACTAGTATTTTCATCGAAACAGTTCAACATGGAAACCTCAAGCAGATGTACACTGAAGAGTAGTAAACATTTGCTAAATCCCAGGCCAATCAACTGCAAGGTGTAAAGTAAGTTATCAAGAACTCAGGAAGGACGAGCAATAACTAAGCAGGAAGATAAAAAATTACCAGCAGATCATAGAACAGCCTAGAATCCTGCATTTCACTGACGACTAATTTGTGCCTGGTCTTCAGAGAAGTGCATTCATCTCACTTATTAAATTGTAAAGGTTAAGAATATGTTTAACATTTCAAAATTGAATTCCATCCTTACATGACATGAAAACAGTAGCAAGTAAAAAATTCTAGGAATGTTTTACTCAAATAAAAGAAGTCTGATATCAAGGTTTTGTCAAATAGCCCTAATACTGGCAAAAGGAGCCCTAGTGGTGCAGTAGTTAAGTGCTCAGCTGCTAACCCAAAGGTCAGTGATTTGAACCTACCAGTGGCTCTGCGGGAGAAAAGACATGGTGATCTGCTCCCATAAAGATTTCAGCCTTGAAAACTTTAGGGGGCAGTTCTGCTCTGTCATATAGGGTCACTAGTAGTCTGAATCTACTCGACAGCACACAACAACAATACTGGAAAATAAACACACTGAAATTACATTTACCTAAAAGCTATTTATTGCTGTCTAACTATAAATGGGAAACCCTGGTCGTGTTGTGGTTAAGTGCTACAGCTGCTAACGAAAAGGTTGGCAGTTAGGTGCTCCTTGGAAACTCTATGGGGCAGTTCTACTCTGTCCTACAGGGTCACTATGAGTTGGAAGCAACTCTATGGCAATGGGTTTGGTTTTCTGGGTTTGGAGGTATAAACAAATGAGTATGTTTTTTCCCAAATTACAACAAGTTAATCTAACCTAGATTGGTGTATTCCAACTACTTTTTAGGATAGTTTTTCAAAGCTCTAACATACTCTGGTCCTTCACAGACATTAAAGAATTATGTTTTCTTTTTCTCAGATTAAACTGGGCCTATCATTACAACTTTTGCTCTTGTAAAGAAAGTTATCAATTCTTTTAAAATACCGAAGTATTTACTATCTTCTCCCAAAATAAAGAATTGGCCCTCATAGTCCAAAATAAACAATTTACATTTTGTTAAAGACTGTAGTTAATTCTCTGTAACGAGTTACTGCTACAAAGATAACAAAAAGGGCAACATAAGAAGACATACCAGAATCTTGACTGAAGTAAGTTGAATTAAAGTTTTACACAAGGTTTAAACAAACAAAAAAGTCCATATCTCAGGGGAGACAAATATTAAATTTTGTATTATGTGCTAGACGAGGCCAAATAAATGGCACAAGAAGCAGACTGACAAAAATGTGACAAGCATTTCCACTTCCTGGCGTGACGGACAAGGAGGAGCCCATAATGTGTATCTCCAAGTTGCTGACTCAGATTGAAAACCAAAATTTGCCAGACTGATTCTGGCAAACAAACAGGGAGGCGTTATTACGCTGTTACTAAGTGACCTCATATGACCTTTTTGTATCTCGATGAATTACAAACGAATACAAAAAGTTGAGGACCACCTGGGAACTACGTTTAGGTCAATGAGCAAGGCATGCTTATATAAAACCTTTGTTTTCAAATTTGGTAATATTTAAAGGCTAAAAGGTCACAGAAGATACTTTTTAAAAGTTTTAAAATTATGCAAGAGCCAGACGTGACTTGCCAGAGCCCTTTCGTAGCCCTGGTATCAGCGTGCATTGGAATACACAGCTGCCTGAGCACTGACGCTAACCCAACAACTGAACGATAGAACATCCACATGATACGTGAAACGTAAGCTGGGCAGAATAAATACTAATCATAACTACCTACAGACATGTGTTCCTCAGGCTTTGCTTACCAATTCTGTAATGATGATCCAATTTAGCCCACAGAGTTTCATCATCAGGTCTTGGAAGATCAATGCTTTTAAGAGGTTCGTAAACTGAGCCTAAAAGAAAACCGAAAGCTCATCAAATTCAGTCATTTCCACCCAGATATAAGAAGAAAACTTCTAAACAAATAAAGAAACACTGCCTAGCAATTTAATTTTCATTTTTGCATGTGAATTACCCTCTTTCACTACTGGTAAAATTTCTGATGGGTGAGACGAGAAGAAAGCACCTTTGTCAAGTACAAAAAGGCTCTAAATGTTATGGGACGCCCCCACCCTCGCCCTGGCAGGCAAGCCAACAAACTGATGGGCATGTACACAAGTCCCAGCGACTTAAATATCACGTTGAAGTCACTAGCTCAGTAATTTCAGTTTCCTTTGAAAAATCTATCTACTTACATGCCCTAAAATTCAAACCTTCTTCCTTATGTTGGCGCTTTATCAGGCAATCCTCTGTCCAACAGTCATACTCTAAAAACCTCAAGGAAAAAGATAATGCTCATATGCCCAAAGCCATCACTATACTGACATTCACCTACTCGTCACAATGAGATTCTTAAGCCTCCACGCTTGCCCAGGTAGATAATACTCTTGCCTTATTATCTGGACTATAAGCAAAGAAAAAGGCTACTTCTCAGCCATGAAAACTAGTACAAGATGTTAGCAGAACACGCTGCTCAAGAGCTACAGAATACACAATAATCATGATAATTTGCCACAAAATGGATACAGAAAATTGTGCACTTGACTGGTGTACTTTCTAAACCGCTGACGGAAAAGAAGACATCTGCACCTTCAGCCGTCAGACTAAGGACTCTCTCTCGTTCTTATTAAAAGCGCTCAGAAATCATAAACATCTCAGAGTCACAATTAATCCACCTCTGGATTCAGGTAATGCATACCAGATAGTCCAACAACACAGCACAAAAGTGGACCTATGATTTCCCTGGGGGGGGGGGGTCACGTTGAGATGCGTTAAGATTCTGTTTTTAAAGAAAACGAAAGCATTTACGTTCACAGAACTGCCATGTCCAGTATGCTAGCTCAAAGCCAGGGTAATGGGTACCTTTACACTCAGGCAGATGGTAAACATTCTGAAGGAAGTAAGGGAACGACCTATGCATTCAGGCAACACTCCCATTGTCTTCTGCTGGAAAGAGATGATTTGGATATAAAAATAGTTGACAGGAAATGACCTGCTCTGCGTGAATCGCCCATTTTTAACAGGGAGTTTCCACAATGACACCAAGCACGTCGGCCTCATGGTGAAAAACAGGGAGACCTACCAACACAGGCAGGAGAGCATCAGGGCTCCTGCACGGGACGGGGAACCCCAGCCACGCCCTCTGCTTCCCGGGACTCAATCAGCTCTGGGCAGGTGGGAGTATATGGACAGCCCGGCGGTTTAAAAGGAACTGGCACTCCTTGCATATAGGATACTAACCTCTGGGAGTCTACACACTCCCAATAAAGCTCATTGCCTAAGAAAGAAAATAAAATCGGGTGCAAATTATCACAACTTATAAATCCTGTGTACGTATATATAAAAACTAAAGAAGAAACCTTTAAAAAAAAAAAGAAGCTACCGTTGCTGAGGTGGAAAGATTGTGGCTGTTATAACTGGAGTGTGTTGTCCCAAAACACGTGCTGTAAATCTTAACTCCCATGCCTGTGGTGGAGCCCTGGTGGCTCAGTGGTTAAGAGCTTGGCTGCTAACCAAAAAGACGGCAGTTCAAATCCACCAGCCTCTCCTTGGAAATCCTATGGGGCAGTTCTACTCTGTCCTATACGGTCGCCAAGAGTCAGAATCGATTCCACAGCAATGGGTCTGGTTTTTTTGTCATATACATATATATGTAAACATACATACACACAAATATATGTATTCGTTCGGTTGTACACAGGGTCGTTATGAGTCAGAATTCAATGGATGTGGAACCCACTGGACAGCAAAGGCTAGGGTTTTGGATGCCTGTGGTTATAATCCCATCTGGGAACGAGTTGTTTTTGTTACCTTAATGAGTCAGGGTTAGTGTAGGGTGTGTTTTGAGTCAATCTCTTACAAAATATAAAAGAAGTAGATTAGGTAAACAGACATAGGGGAAGGTTGATGCCAAGCCACATGGAGATCTCCGTGGAACCAGGAAACAGGAGCTAAAGAGACAAGGACACTTCCCCCAGAGCCTACAGAGAGAAAGAAAGCCTTCCCCTAGAGCCGGCACCCTGAGTCTGGACTTCTACCTTCCTAAACCGTGAGAAAACACATTCTTGTTTGTTAAAGCCATTCACTTATGATATTTCTGTTATAGCACCACCACATAACTAAGACATGGTTGACTAACAGTTCTTCTTTTACTTAAAAGTTCTATTAATGGAGCTATTATTTTGATTTGTATAACAAAAATAAAACCACCAAAAGTTGTATATTTTCATTACAATTAGGTGAGGCATCAGTGGTTCAGTGGTATAATTCTCACCTTCCAGGTAGGAGAGCTGGGTCAACTTCCAGCCAACACACCACGGGCACAGTGGAGGCCTGTGTGCTGCTAGGATGCTGAACAGGTTTCAGCAGAGCTCCCAGACTAAGAGGGACTAGGAAGAAGATCTGGCAATCTACTTCTGAAAATCACCTATAAAAATCCTATAGCTCACTACGAACAGATTCGCAGCTAATCATGAGAATGGTTCCATTGTACATGGGGTCCCCATGAGCCGGGGACCAATTCCACGGCAGCTAACAAAAACAGCAAACATGCAAATGGATGAAGATATAAATACCAGTTGCCATTGAGTTGATTCTGACTCATGGCGACCCAATATGTGTCAGAGTAGAACTGTGCTCCACAGGGTTTTCAACAGCTGATTTTTCAGAAGTAGATCACCAGGCATTTCTTCTGAGGTGCCTCTGGGTGGACTCCTCAAACCTCCAACCTTTTGGTTAACAGCTGAATACATTAACCATTTGTACTACCCAGGGACTCTGAAGATATAAGCACAACTGAAATTAACCTGCATTGCAATGGTAGGTGAATTTATTTTCATAGATTGTGTAATGATGTTGAATCCTTTTTTTTTTTATGAAAAAGCACTATTACACGATAAACAAAATGCAGGACACATATATAATGGAATATCACTTAGCCATAAAGAGAAATGAAGTCCTGATATATGCTCAACCTGGATGAACCTTGAAAACATTATGTTGAGTGAAGTCAGTCACAAAAGGACAAATACTACATGATCCCCTTCTATGAAATATCTAGAATAGGCGCATGTATAGATACCAAAGTTCATCAGTGGTTACCAGGGATAAGAGGGTAAGGAGGGGGGAGGAAAGGGGATCATTTTTTAGGAAGCACTGTGTATCTGTTAACGGTGATGGAAAATCTGACAGCAATATGGGTGATACTGGCACAGCGTGAGTAGTGCAATCAATGTCACTGAAGTGTACGCATAAAAAATGCTGCACTGGCAAATGGCGTGTTAGATGTATTTCTACCACAATACCAAAAAAAAAAAGAAAACAAAACAAAGGCCATCACACTTAAGGTGCCTTCCTCCCGAAAACAGAAAGGCTAAAATGATTCTGTCGTCTGTTTTTTCTCAAAAAAAATCACTAACAGATTTTCAGAGGCAACAATGGATAAACAAAATGAAAACCAGACTTATCAAGAAAATAAACACCTACTTAAGAGCTAAAAGATGTTAAAAGCATAACGGAAAAGGGTAAAAATAAACCCACATAATTCCTTAGGAATCAATGCTTTCATATACCTTCCCAGACCTTCAAAGAAGGCCCGTGGCGAGTTAAGAACAGCTTGGTTAGACGAATGTTAACATTTTAGTGATCACTATTGTACTGCTTCTGCTGTAACTATATAAAATTAAACATAAGGCTGATGCACACAATTTATGGTGAGCAGTACCACAAATCTGAAGTATAAGAAAAATAATCAATGGTAACATTTTAAACAAGAATTAGACATTTGAAGAACATCAATACAAATGAAAATGTGGAGGAGAAAGCAATCAATGGAACATGAACTCCCAGAGAAAATTTTTCAAAAGACACAAAATAACTAGAAAAATCTAATAAAATTTTAGAATTTAGATTGAGGTTAAACTAAAATGGAAATTTTTCATTTCTATGTTTCTCCCTCGTAAATTATTCTGTGCCAAACACTGGAAAGTAAAATGAAACTTATCAGTTATGAAATTTCTAAAATGAGTTTGAACATGTCAATCTGATTTTTTGACCTGCCAATTAATTCACTTCACACTAGAAAAATATAATCTACATCTTCATTTCATAACACATTATCGCCAAAGAGACACAGTGACAGACGGCAATACGAGGGAATGTGGACCAGAAGTTGTTACTGGAAGAAAAATGTCACAGCTTTATCATGAAGGAGGAAAGGGCTATTTCCTAACAAGGCAATTAAAGGAAAGTTTCCTAAGAAATTCTGACAAGCCAAAAACCATATTAAGAAAGAATATAAACTTGAGAAAGGTATACAATTTCCGAATTTTGCACTATAAAACATCAAGAAGGTTCCTGAGTGTTATGGGGTGGCTCTTGAGGTAAGATACCATAAATTAACACTGGGAATTCAAATAGCAACCCTTAAAGGCATAAAAAGAGCCCTGGAGGCACAGTGGTTAAGAACCTGGATGCTCATCAAAAGGTCTGCAGTTGGAATCCACCAGCTGTTCCTCGGAAACCCTATGGGGCAATTCTACTCTGTCCCATAGGGTCACTATGAGTAAGAACCCACTCGATGGCAATGGGATTTTTGGCTTATTACTGTTGTATTGGTTTGCCGATCAGAATTTTGCTGATCTGAGACCTTTAATTTTCTTAGATCGTGTTTTTTATGCCTTTATTTAACTCATTGCCGTCAAGTTGATTCCAACTCATCGTGACCCTACAGGACAGAGCAAATGAAGAACAGGGTATCAAGACTGGAGGAAGACTCAGCAACAATCTACGATATGCAGATGACATAATCTTGCTTGCTGAAAGTGAAGAGGACTTGAAGTGCTTACTGATGAAG